GGTGGAGGATTTTTGGGGTCAACAACCCTAAGTGGTTCGAAAACGTTTTATTGGGCCACATTCATGTATACATGACATATTTCAGAAGTTTTGTATGTTTTGTACGAAACAGATACTCGCAAAAATAAATTAATACGAAGGAGTTCGGCATATCGTACACTTCGTAATGGATTCTGAGCGGAACCAAGTTAAGAAAAAACTTTCCACAGAGAACATGCTGAATCGGTCGGCGTGAAAGTGAATGGATCATTCACTTTCACGCCGACTCGGGCAGGGGAAGTAAGTGCAGAAATAAGTAAGACATCGCTATCATTACCAGTCATAAGAGTATATATAATAAGAGTGCGAAGCACAGACCGGATAGTGCAAATTCCCAATTTTCGGCTAATATAAAAAAACTCAAAATTGCATAGCCTCAAACAAACGGCGGGCAAGCTATTACAAAACAATGAGAGCTCTATTCGACATTTGGCAAGACTCAACGTCCCTAAACATCCACTAAATTTTTCAGGAAAGAAGTATGGCTTTAGAAAAAAGCGGCTAAAAAACTATGGACAGTGGATACAAAAGTGTGTACATTTTATTTCGAATATTTAGGCCTCTATTCACTATTTGCTATAGAAATTCTGTAGAAAATGAATAAATATTTTTGTTACGGAGCCTTGATACACATTTGCTGGAAAAGGGGGAAAGAAATGTTAGGAGTGCAAGCATCCCCGCCCAATTAATAAGCACTTTCTGTTTTTGGTTAGGAAACAACCTCCGTTAATACACAATTAACAGTTAATCCTGTCTAGCTGCTTACCAGCCACTGAATAGTGCAACCGAACTTTGTCCAAGTTCCGGTTAAGTAATCGAACATGCCAACATAGGTGTATTCTGCAAAACATTTTTAAAAACCTTTTGTGGCACTCCTCTGAGCAAAGGCTAAAACCACCCAGACCTCAAAGTGCGTGATACAAGGTGGCATACACCCCTCAAACATGTGCCACACTCTCTTTTATAGAAAGAAAGTGATTTTCTAGTTGCTGAATGAAATTAAAGGCAGCCTGTGATGCTGCTACAAAGTTCCCGAAGAGTTTTCCTGGCACGTGGTACGCTTTAAGCAGAAGAAAGCACTTGTGAGGCCTGGTCAAGTTATCAGACACATGCCATAGCAGCTGAGAACAGCCACAGCTGTTGGTCGTCTGTTCAAGCACGAACTTTATCAAATAGCCTCAAACGTAATAAGTGGACGACTCATCAATTACGTTAGACTTGATGTCTGATGCCAGCTCAGAAATATCCTCTAGTGGCGGGAAGTTATCAATTGGAAGGCATTCCACATTGTCTGAAATTGAACTTTCATGGTGCGAAGATATTGGCAACTTTTTGAGGAGGTCAACCTTGTCATCTTGTACGTTTCCATTGTTCGACAGTTTGAACAGTTTCTTTATCCCTATGTGTTTTAGTCTAAGGTGAACTGATGCACATTTGGGTTTGTGTTGCAGCCCAGCATTTGTCGTATATAGCTCCAAACAGTTTCTCGCGTGAGTCTTGCTGCAGGCGTCGTGTAAGTAAGAACTTAAAGTCATGACTGTTTGAAAGCTCATTCCAGAGCACGAGGACAGTTTTTATAGTAACTTGCCACCCTACGATGGCATGTGGCCGCCTTCTACTTTGAAACTGCCATGCTGAAATCCATCCGTGTTGCTGGTGAAGGAAATCGAGTATTTCAGATTCTCCCTTCAGAATGGCATGACGCAACTTCTGCATTGTCTTCTTGAATTGTGAGCTAGTAAGACAATCAAAATGTATGTACCTCCTATCACAGAAATAAGCTGTAGCCATGGCTGCCTCACGAAGCTCCTTGGTATAAACAAGGGACATGATTGCAAGAAAGAGTGAGGCACTCAGAACCTGTGCGGCACGATTTACTTCCATGTTACTGAAATTAAAAAAAAAAAAAAAAACGTGTCTCTCAGTAAGTTTCGGAGCCAATTGAAAGCTCGTGTCATGGGTAGAACGATAAAGCTCCACAACATGGGACCACTCAATGACTTCGTTTCAAATGCAAAGTTTGTGTGATCGGAGATTGCTCTTGGTTGTTTTGGGGAGGTGCGGGACATCAAAGATAAAATAAACATATCCGTTGTCAACTTCAAACAACGGTTTATCAACACACACACACCAAGTTGGTTGGCCAAGCTTAAGTTTGGAACCCCCTAATGACAGACCACAGCCTTTACTGTCAAGCCAACAGTGTTAAGTCCAGAATGAGAGAACTGAGGAGACTGCGTTTAACAGAAGAAGTTGTTGTAGTGAGCCCAACAGTGTATGCAAATGGCCAAGCACACCCCACCTCCTGGAAATTCCAAAGAACACAACAACCAAGGCTCTATCTGCAATGTTAGAGATTCGTTCAACTTCTGTAAATTTATGGACAATGTCGTGTGCAGGGTCGTGAGTTAAGCTCTTTTTTAAACAATCTCATCGAAAATCAAGATACACAAACGATCAAGGGCAGCCCGACAGCCCGGCGGAAACAACAGCGTGAGAAACACAAACCGATCGGCTCCACAAATTCACGCCGAGCATGCGAGCACGCGGGCTGTCATGTGTCACCTTGTTTGATTGAAAGTCGACCGAACATGATGCAACAGAGAGCACAGACGGACGGCACGCACGGCACGAACGAACGACGAACGGACGAGCAGAGCCCATGCAGAATGATGCATGCTGAGGTGACGCGGCGTGCAGGCAGGCAGGCCATGGCGGGCGCCATTCATCACGTGGTGTTTGTGGCGTATTTGATTAACACTATTTAGTCGTTTTAAATACTTTAAATAATTCTAAAGCAAAACAATTAAAAAAAAGTGAAAGCCGTTTACCACTCCCTGTAACGCCGAATTGGAGCGCAGCTCTTGAGGAGGAGGAGGGGAGGGTACTGAGGGCCACGTGTTCTCGGGGGGGGGGGGGGGGGGGTCACGTGACCTCGGGGGTCACGTGACCTGGGGAGTCACGTGACCCCCTCCCGAGGTCACGTGACCTCTGAAGGGGCACGTGACCAAAATTTTTCCGCTAGATTTAGCGGGGAAATTTTTTCCGCTAGATTTAGCGGGGAAAGTTTTCCGCTAGATTTAGCGGGGAAATTTTTTCCGCTAGATTTAGCGGGGAAATTTTTTCCGCTAGATTTAGCGGGGAAATTTTCCCGCTAGATTTAGCGGGGAAATTTTTTCCGCTAGATTTAGCGGGGAAAGTTTTCCGCTAGATTTAGCGGGGAAATTTTTTCCGCTACATTTAGCGGGGAAATTTTTTCCGCTAGGATTTAGCGGTGAAAGTTTTCCGCTAGATTTAGCGGGAAAATTTTTTCCGCTAGATTTGACGGGGAAATTTTCCCGCTAGATTTAGCGGGGAAATTTTTTCGCTAGATTTAGCGGGGAAATTTTTTCCGCTAGATTTAGCGGGGAAAGTTTTCCGCTAGATTTAGCGGGAAAATTTTTTCCGCTAGATTTGACGGGGAAATTTTTCCGCTAGATTTAGCGGGGAAATTTTTTCCGCTAGATTTAGCGGGGAAATTTTTTCCGCTAGATTTAGCGGGGAAATTTTTCCGCTAGATTTAGCGGGGAAATTTTTTCCGCTAGATTTAGCGGGGAAATTTACCCATAATGCACCGCGCGGTTACGCCGACGGCGACGCCGACGGCGACGGCGACGGCGACGGCGACGCCGCTCAAGCCGGGAACGGGCCCCTAAGAGCTGCGCTCTAAAATAGGCGCTTCTCGTAGACAGAGTTCTAATTAATATTAACCAAATTACAAAAAAGCGCCACATAGCGGAGGGCATTGAACGCACTATCTGGGCCGCGAATCGGCTTCTGTGTCTTCTCTTTACGTTTACTATATTACTCTATGCATGGCACTGCTCCGGAACTTCGCTGTTTCTAGCGGCTTTGTTTGCTCGTTTGATAAAATTAGTGATATAAACGTCAATGGAACCGAAATGTTCTGCACGTTTGGATTAGAAGTCGGAATTACAGGCGGCCCTCGCTGCCGCTGAAGCTCAATCAAGTCAACAATATTTTTTAAACAATGTGCGCGACGTGCTCGTAAAACGAAACTCAAAGAAAATGAGTCGGGAGGGCGAAAGCTTTCTCCTGTCTGCCTGGAGAAGAAGAAAAAGTCTCGTTCCTCTCTTCCTCTCGTGTCCGCTTGAGGGCGCGTCAGTAGAAGGGAGGAAGACGCGCCGTTGCTACCTCTTTCCTCCATTTCTTCTTAGAGTGTAGGTAGTAAATTTTAGGAACACATAAAGCACCCCTGAAGCGAATGAGTGCGCTAAAGTTACCACTCATGCAGCAGACACAAGGCTGGCAATGTGAAAACACCGGTGACAACCATATACTCCCCGTTTAGCATCGACAGCCTTATGCCTGCTGGTTGTCGAACGCTGACGAAGCACTCCTGTCCCATTTGCGTCTTCGCTTAATCTCACTTCCATGACGCTTCAATTTTAGTGCACAGGCTTTGAATCTTATGTAGTCACCGACAAAATGAAAACGGCAGGGAGGGAGTGTCAATCGTCTTGCGTTCAGCGCGAGCTTTGTTCCTTCGATAACGCTTCAGAGCACGGCGGCAGTCAATGGGAGCCTGCTGCAGGGCGGGTGTTCAAAAGAAACGCACTGCCCATCTTACCTTGTCTGCGACGATAGGTGGTGCTTAGTAGTGGCGTAGCAAGGAATTGTTTTCGGGGGGGGGGGGGGGGGGGCGGAGAGGACGAGGGCGAGGGCGGGACAAAATGCATATGTATATTATAGGGTCGGCTGGATTTCCCGAAGGGGGGGAGTGGGAGGGGGGTTGAAGCCCGTAGCCCATTGTACCAGGGGCGTAGCCAAAAGGGGAGGGGCTAAAGCCCCATAAGCACACCTTCCCCCCTTTTGGCACGCCCCTTGTGCTGACTACACCCACAAGATCTTCTGAAATCGGTGTACAGAGAGTATCTCAGCCTTCGTTTTTTTCTGTGCAGCCGGGCCCCAGATCACACCGTTCCGCTGGCTGGACGAGCTTCAGGAAGGCATGCGCGCCGGGCTCTCGTGCTTCGTGCACTCCGGGGACGCCCCCATTTCGCTGGAGTGGCTCAAGGATGGGCTGCCCCTGCGCCACGCGCACGTGCACAGTCCTCAGGGCGGCTTTATGTCGGCGCTGTCCCTGGCCTCGCTCACACCCCAGGATGACGGCAACTACACCTGCAGGGCGTCCAACGCCTGGGCTTCGGCGAGTTACAGCGCCGTGCTCAGGGTCAAAGGTGAAGGTCACGGCCTGTACATGACGTGCAACGGCGACAAAACAGCTGACATCGCGGTCGCCTTGTTATGAAGTGCGTACCTCCTGCAGCATACGTTTGGCCACAACGAACCTGTTTTATTGGCAAGAACGAGCAAACGTGACCACCAGCAAGATTCGAAGAAAGTCACATGCTGCAAGTCTTAGATTCAGTAAACTGTTTCTGAAGTAAAAAATATATGACTCAAAGTTGGGATTTATATTTGGACCTGTCAGTGAAACGGTCATTTGCGAAATTGCGCTGTACGAGAACCTTTGAGTTTTTATGAGTTTCATGTTAGTGACACGCTGATTAAATCAGCGATATCACGTAAGGTGACATCACACAATGTGCTCACGCGATATTATCGTGTTATGTCTTGGTGTCATGTGACTCGCTTAAGGTGGCACAGTGATACATGGCACCGTGGGGTCATGTCACCTCACGCGGCACAGCTTGACGTCACACCGCGACGTCACGGAACCTTACGTCGCACGATGCGTTCACGTGACATGGCTTCACGTTAAACCACAACTTGACAACCAACGTTACTATATTCAAAAACGTTCTGGACACCGCAACGGCACATGTCACGATGACTTAGCGCCGTAATTCACGTGACACTGTGACATAGGTCATGTCACATGCCAAGCGCGCCGCGTTGCATGAAGAATTCTGATGTAATCTAGCGTAATCCAAGCTTCGGCTAGAATAATAGCCTGCAATAATACATTGGAACATTACCTTGGCAAATTGGTTAGCTTTCCTGCGGGCACGTTACTTGCTGATTGTTTGTTATAACCGTACAGTGATGTAAGGGTTTATTCATGATTTCCGTAGGGTGTTCGCAATCTGTGAAACGTTTGTGAATTAAGCCGCAGTAATTCCCTAAATAATTTAACCCTGCAATGTTGGTCATTTGGTGAGATCGAAATCCGTATTGACATGTTCAGAGAGCATGAAACTGCCCATAAGATGTCTTATACCGCATGCTGTACATCAGACGAACTTAACTTTCTAAGCAGTACCAGCATTTTTTTGGGTCCCCCAGTCTCATTCTTTACCAAACGTTCAATCAGAAATTTCGAAACGTTTGCAGCAGTGAAATACTTTACAAAATGAATCTTTGTACTATTGCGATAAGAATGGCCTGAAATATATTACGCTACTCATTTTACTTGTCACACTTCTTACACTCTAAAAAAAGTATGTGCGTCTACTTTCACGCGCAACACTCGGAGAGCCAATCACCGCAACTTACAGAGGCAGCTCAGCGAATGACACTGCCGAAACATATGTTTAGACCAAAAAAGGGAGTCTGAGTTGTCACATTAAGCAATGAAAAACGTCACGATTGCATTGCTTAATGTCACAACTCAGACTGCATTTTTTGGTCTAAACATATGTTTCGGCATTGTCATTCGCTGAGCTCCCTCCGTAAGTTGCGGTGATTGGCTCTCCGAGTGTTGTGCGGGAAAGCAGACGCACGGGCTTTTTTAGAGTGTATAGCTCGCCCCACCGGTGGTCTGACAGAATGGACTTATGTATATGTCTAATTTGCGTTAACATTGTTTGGTGTCGCAGGACACGTCCAAAGACGTCGAAGTAAACCCAGTTTTAGGTGTTTATGGCTATATTGTTTTATAGACAGTTCTAAAAAGCAACAAAGAACCAATTGTGTTTATAGCGAGAATTGTCGCCCTTTCCCAGATGTTAGGACCATCTGGCAAAACGCATTGTGTGTTTGATGGATAAAGAGCGAATTCAAATTATTTGACTGCGCAAAAAAAAAATCTATAAACAATGGTTCTATGTAATACCCATGTAGCGCAATCCTTTGGACACACATTTAGCTTTCGTCTGGCAAAATACCCTTTTCAAAGTTTATCAAGCAACATTGGCGGTCGCCATTTTATGTGCATGTAGAGTTTGATTAAATATGTATGTTGGCTTAACCCTCAGTTAACGCCCGTTCTCGATAGGAGACGATTGAAGATCGCGCCGTATGCTGACGCAGAAACTCGTGTTCAATGGATGCTCGGATTGCACAAAACTATTACTAAGTTGAATACTAGGCGCAGGTGCTGCTAAATGCTCGCCCTTTTGAAAGTGGTCTATTTAAGGTCGTGAAAGTGGCCATATTCCAAGGTACATACAAACTTGATATATCGTTGGCCACAGTTTCAGTATTTTGCCTTCTAGTTGCCATACAGATGCCAGCCTTGGACTTCGATGCCTACAGCTGATTCGTTGGCACGCAGAATTTTTGGTTCATGCCTGGCGTTTTTGCAATTATTAGAAAGAACCTGTGAAAACCGATAGCTAATCCAAAGAAAGCAACCTTGCCACTAACACTAACGCCTCAGTGCGAAGCATTATTAGGTCAAAGTTACACGTCACTCCTAGATTGCCGAACTTGGGCCAAGTTAGGCGTTTCTCTGACGTGCTATCCCGGTCATGAAAGAGGTTGAATTTAGGAGCGCTAAAGGCCCTTCCATCTACCATGATTTCTGAGTTTGAAAAATTGTTTTCATATAAAGCGAATTTCTTTTTTCCACTGTAGTTGCTCCAACATGGAGGACAGAGCCGAAGGATGTCGTGGCTGTAACCGGTCACTCGGTGGTCGTGGACTGCCAGGCACATGGCGAGCCGCCGCCACACATTCGATGGAAAACCGCCTCAGGTGAGTGGATAGCGGAACGTCATACAAGCATCACTAAAATAAATGCCTCAGGTGCAGTTCTTGAGCCGCAGATGTCATTCTACACTCTCTTTTTTGCGGTGAGAATCTAAAGATGTGGTCGTACTTCATAAGTCATAGGATAATCTTTAAGGTAAACGCGTCAAGACCTGTCACAGATCAAGAAGATAAAAAATGTCCAGTGGTAAATTCTTAGGAAATGTTTTATCATGACCTTTCAGAACCGCCGCACAGGCCAACCTTTGAAAAATGCTAATGCATTTTTCAAAGGTTGGCCCCCTTCATATTTCTGTATATATGCAATAACCCCCTTCATATTTCTGTTTTTTGCTTTTTCTTTTTTTGCTTTCTTCATTTATTTCTGCCTCTTCTTAACCTCATTACGGGGTCAGTATCAGCGTTTCCCAAAACCCATGCTAACGCATTCCCTGAGAATACACCAATAAACCTTCTCTCAAGTTTGTTTCACTCGTTTCTTTTACTGTGCCTGTAAGAGTACGTCGACGCCCCTTGAATGGGATTGTCCGTATTACTAGTGGAAAGATCCTCATTCATACCACTCGTGGAAGGAACCGCATTCATATCACTCGTGGAGGGAACCTCATCCGTCGTTTTAGCTACACACGCGCATCATAGCCTACGCACCGCTACTACGGAAACCCATAGAAAAGAACATTCGGCGATGACAGAACGGCAACAGAGCACGCCCGCTTCCACCGCGCCGCGGCGCCTCCTCCTCTCTGGTTCCGCGACGACTGTGCGACTCTTCTTTGACGAAAACGAAAACGCTCTTTTTGAGGACAAACTCGGCGGTGTCTGTCAGTTTCTCTGCGTCGTGTAGACGGGGAGAGGGAGAGGGTGACGCGTGTTAACGACAGCGCTTCGGACTAATGAGCGTCGCACATGACACCCTCTCCCCCTCCTTCACCCTCTCTCCCCTGCGCTTACAGACTGACAGACGCCACCGGGTTTTCGCCAAAACGAGTGATCTAATATTAACGCAGTAGAAGTATATTTTTACACTCGCTGGGAGCTTAAGAAACGCAGGGCGTGGCTGGTCCCGATCATCGTACTGTCTCTATGCAGCCTATATGAAATAGCAATATTAATCGATAATAACCCAGCAGAAGGAGTCACGGGGTAAGAAGCGTGGACGTGTCTCAAATTGCCAGCTTCTATAACTGCAATTTGTGAAAATCCTCTTACGTTCCTGAACCAGGGGATCCCCAAGGACGATGAAAAAGATTAAATGAAACAACGTTTTCTTTTAAGCGCTAATGAGTGATTTGCGCCTGTCACAAAATATCACCATCTATCATGCTTATGAGAAATGGTAACTGGGCTTATTCAAACACCGCGAACGTTACACAGACGCAGGAAAGAGGTGTATGGTACGAGCGCGGACTAACAACTGAGGGTTTTGTTCGTGATAATTCCCGAAAAAACATTCTTAAACACACGACTCTATAATCTTAATGGAATGGCACCTGCGCATCACAGAATTGGGTGCTATCAGTTACACAATTCTAAACGCGATCTTTCCCGATAAAAAAATGGCCTCACTGTATATCAAAGAACCCTAGCTGACTTACGCAGGTTGTACCCTCCTTTTTTTATTATGTCAGCCTCTACAATATAGCGAGCATTTGGTCCCAGTGTTTACACAACAGGACGGTACTTTCTAGTCAGAATGTACACCAGCAGCCTCGGCAGTGCAGTGCCCAATGTGAGCACGCGTATCCCGTTAACGAATCACGCTGCTCCCTCAGGCGAATTTTCAGACATCTCCCCGTTTGCCCGTTGCCCGTTTGCCCGTCCGTTCAAAGTTAAACCATCTATTATCGCGCCCAAAAAAGTGTAAATAGACAAAACTAGGTATAGTCACCTACAGCCCCCCCCCCCCCTTGGTCGTGCCAAGTCCCCAGCAAATTATAGTTGCCTACAGACCCCCCCCCCCCCCCTGGTCGCGTCAAGCCCCCAGCAAATTATAGTGCTCCCGCAGACATCTCCCCGTTTGCCCGTTGCCCGTTGCCCGCTGTCCGTTTGCCCGTTTGTTCAAAGGTTAAATCGTCTATTATAACGCCCCTCAAAAAGTGTAAATAGACAAAACTAGGTATAGTCACCTAAAGCCCCTTCTGGTCGTTTCAAGTCTCCAGCAAATTATTATCACTCGCGTTCTAGTGAGTTGGTGGCATTAGCCCAGACGAATGCCGGAGAGGGTATCAATGAAAGAAGCATGAACGAAATAAACCACGTCCGGCGCTTCTTTAGCTGTTAGTTACTATACTCCAGAGCCTAGAATAGTAGGCTCGCCCGTAATTTTATAAAGGCTATTGCAACAAGCCCTTAAAGACACACGTCGTACTCCTTCGCCGTGTCGAGAAACGTTATGCGCTGAGAAGCCGAAAAAGAAGAGGAGGCGAGAGGGCACTGGGACGTCAGAACCTAAAGCCAGCCGCCTTTGTCGGTCTCCACAACCACTCGTCGAACCCGTTCGGACGTGAACTCCAAACGCCGGACGCCGGCGTTGCGCGTCATAAGGCGTTCGACGAGTGCAGTGGACACAACGGCTGTTACCTTTAGGTCTGCCCACTAATCACTCGAACCGGACCTTGGCGTTCTCACGTCCCAGACCACTCAAGTTTCCTGCTGTCCCTCAGTTTTAGGAGTAAAGAATTTTTATTGGGCGCTTAAAAGCAGACAAAAAATCTTGAGATCAGTTGGATTGCTCCAAGTTTTGTATACGTTTCACGCAACCTTCATTGCTACGTCAGTGCTTTTAACGTGCGTATACGTCCGGCTGTTTAGCATTTAGGTTCAATTTTATGCCGGCCGTGACGAATTTTTTGTATCTGTATTTGCGACAGACTTCTGTCGCGTTTTCTTTCTCTGCAAGTGACCTCGTGCAATCTTTTCTGACGGGACATTAAGATTTAAATTTATTGTTTTCGCCTTCTCGCGTGGTGATGAGTTCTTTCTAATTTACCCCCGCTTCTGGTCTAAAATTGGCACCCCCCTTTCAAACGGCAATTTTCACGGTAAATTTGGAATAAATGGTGTTTTTTGTAACTACAGATGTGGAAAAAAAGCCGTGAAATCTACAATATAGAGGTCTGCTTAAACGGATACTGAACCAAACATGTTAGTGTCCGTAATAACTGGCCCACGATATTTCCACGAGCCAGCAGCCGCCGGCGTGCTCGAGCAGAGACAACGAAATTGACGTCATAGTCTTCCATTGACGCTTAAGGTGAAAGCGAATTGTATGCGCTCTGGACATAAAAGGAAACCAATACAGGATTTTCATCTTCACAAGTGAAGGCTAATAGCTGTTGGAACAATTCATCGCCTACGTTTTACACCACACCCCACTCTGGGGATGAAAAACCTGCATTTATTCTCCTTTTCGCCGGATCCCACAAATTTCACTCTCATCTTGAAGGGGCGGTGTTACGATATTAAATCTGAATGTTTCTTAACTTTACTCAAATTTACGTGCACGAGTGGGACCCATGTATACTCGCACGCGACCATATTTGCAAAAGGCACCTCTTAGTTGCGGCCTAAGTTCAGTTTCTCCGTCGCAAAACTTAATGACGTAGCGTAGGTGTCGCAGTGTCGGCATAATTCATCAGTGACGATACTTCTATGCTGCTCATAGATTGAACCCTAGCACTGCGTGAGCACTCGATTTGGGCTTGTGATAATCAATAGGTCCACAAGCATTCGGGTAGTGGCTCGTGTCCAATCGCCACAATGACGGCAATAGCCAAACTTTAGCCATGTCTCGAACTCAGCGCGTGTCCTGTGCTTCGCCAAACTCAGCGGGTGTCTACGATCAATATTGGCGGTGTATAATCGTCTCTAAATCACGTGACCGTTTGTTCTGGCCACAACCAACTCTATTTTACTTACGACCACTTCACCCGCGAGTGGCACTGCGCCCGTTTTCGTTGAGCCCTGCTTTGCAGTCCTCGCTATAGATGGCGGTGCATCTCAGCAGCTCCTTCGCTGTTCGCGGCTGTTGAATGCTCTTTGGAGGCCCTTTATAGACATCGTATGCTGCGTTCTCTTCCGGGTTTGGCTTCGTTTTACCAAGTTGTGTGTTGCTTTAATACTGTTAAAAGACGGGCATCCTCCGACCACGGCACTTGTTTTAAGTTGTGGGGCTCTTTATGGAGATCCCTCTACAAATAATCGCCGCCCGATTGGTATGCGCTCCGCCCGTCATCCGGGGAGTGACACAACACAACGAGAAGACAGCGAATGGGCTTACTGTACCTCCCGGTTGCCCGTCGTCGAGAGTCGGAATTCCAGGCACGCCGACCCTTGTTGTCACCCGTCGAGAAGAGCTTACTGTAGGAGTCCGTGTCCAGGCCTGTGGATCGCCTTTCCCACGCCAGCGCTGCGTTGGCTTGCTCTCCCGGGCTGTCAATGCCCGAGTCTCGCTGCGGAACCACCCCGAGATCATCGTGGCCTAGGCCAGATGGCCAGGGCTCGCCGTTTCCACCAATCTTGCTCCTGACCCTGCTGGTGGACCGCTCCGGGGTTCGCCATGGGCCAGGCCTGGCTCCGACGTTATTGCCCAGCTCCAGCCTCGCTCAGCACGCACTGTCTCGCGCAGGCTTGTGTCTTCTCCGCCGACCGCCTGTCACGTGCCCCCTGCCTCGTCTTTTACCCTCGGCTCCCACTAAGTATATCTTGTGCTGGGGAGAAATGTTGACCGTTGTTTCCTTACTGTCCAAATAATATAGGCGTGACGGAACGCTCGTTCTCTCGTTGGGAGCGGACGGCAGTGTATCAGAGCTTGTGGTTATATAATCCAAATGTTATAAATATTTCGTGCACATTTTGAACTCGGAAATTGCGGCTAGCGGACTCCGCACATGCATGGATGTGAGGCGTCGGCTTCCGGGAACGCGCCCCAATCATCATTGGAAATGTCAGAAAATCGCTTATACCTTAAAAATCAGAAAACGGCG